AATATACATCGTGGGAGGAAATACAGAAAAAAAAATCAAATCGATTGACCGTTTGGTTTACGGAATATAATTATCGGAAATTCATAAATTTATATAATTGAAAATAGTTAATATGGAAAATATATAGTTATGCTTTAGCTATTCATGCACAATGCAATCAATCAAGTGAGACTATATACTGCTAAAAGATTGTGTTCTAAACTGGCCCGTTTTACAGCAGATAAACTTTTTACAGAGACTGTCGCGCGACAACCACCTTAAGTTACTATAGGGAACGAGTCGACGAGATTGGATAAGATACATGGGCAGTGTTGCCATATATTCACTGAGGGCTACATGTACTAAAGTCGAGTGTAGATTTAGATAAAAAATTGTTCTCAGTATCTGATCGGAAACAGGCAGTGTCTACACACACGGTGTATGGTGGAATAGCATAGACGTTTGGGATTTTTTCTACCACGGATCTATGGCTTTTATCGACCATCTCCACAAGTAAATCATGGTCTATAGTAAGTTTTGCCATACGTCCATGGCACTGTACCATGGACACATGGAGGAGAACCATAGATGCATGGTAATCATGGTTATCATATATTGACAAAAGTATTTTGAATAAAATTGAAGAATTCACTAAATTCTTCAAGGGTTTCTGAGTTGTTTGGGAATCCTTTTGTGGTTCTCGGAGACAGGGAAGAGTGAAAAATATAACTAGTATGAGTTTTCTTTTACTTTCCACATTTTCTGACAAGGCGAAAGGTTTACGGTCTTCCAGAGATAGTTGGAGTTGGAGGAATTTCACGGTGAATGTTTATACAGACAGTACATTTTTTAATTTATTTGTGCCTCCACTAAGGGACTTGAATATTTCAATTGCTGTTTGAGAAAGAAAGGACCCAAAATTGAACTGAGGTATACGATTTGATACATATGTGTTATTTGTACCAATAAAAAAATGTATGGCCATAATTCTAATTGCCATACACCCAGTAATCGATTGGGTGTATGATGGAGATCACCATGCACATGGCATTGTCCCATGGACGCATAAGGATCACTAAGTGCATGATATTTTTTATGATGTGTCTATGGTTCTCATGCATGTGTCTATGGCAAAAAAAAAGACATACGTCTATGGTATTTAACATACACCGTGTATGTAGACACTGCCCATGAATTATACTAATTATAACCTTCGGTAGATGAAGGGGACGAAAAGTTCCGTATACCTACACAAGCATAACAAATTATTAATTCCATGTCTTGAAAACACAGTATATGTCACTTCCTACTAAATAAGACCAAAAAAAAATTAACAATTGCCTCATTTTAAGGAACTAAATTTCAGGTAACGAAATACACTACTGCCGAACAAACTTTAGTATATTTATGCTATCTTGCTTCACATTACTAATATCTTCTATAATTAAAAATAATAAAATTCTGTCGATGTTTTACAAGCATGGCTTGGAAATTATGAACACCGTATCAGTGCATTTCGCAGTAATACGCCAGGAACGCTTTATCTTTAATATATTTCCAACAATTACTTTCTATTGACGATTCACATATTGAAAGATTATACAAATAAAAATGGACTGCAGTCTCCATTCCACACAAGTCTTTAATAAATTTTACATAAAATAAGAAGTTTAAAACATTAAATGGTCCCAAAACAGTTTTCAAATTCAACGTCATATTTCTAAAATTTGTTGATTGCTTGATGAAAGTTATCTAGTCGGTTGCAAATAATTACCTAAAAGTTAGGGAGCATTCCCGAAGGACTAGGTAACTGTTACCAAGCAATGGAAAAATTTTTCCTAATCGATGCGGTTATTTTCTCCGAACGGCTAAAAAACAACAGGATTACCGAACGGTTACGTAATTTTTACTAAAATTTTCTCTCTGTCGTATGTAAAGCTTAGGTTTCGGTAAGCGAACGATGTTTTGATCGTCCAGATTCAAAAAACATTTATTAATATAAAATTATCAAACGATCACGACTGTACATGGATATATACAAGTATTCGACTCTTTTTGGTCGAACGAAATTGTATTTGTGATAACAAACTTTGTAGAATCGAGTAAGAAACGGAGTAAATATTAACGATACAGCGCCTGCAGCCCTTCCAATGGATGAGAGAGAAAATAAACGATCTTCAATGATAAAGGAGAGCAGGAAGACTCAATAACTCTGCTAAAGTAAAAATGGGATTGAGATAAATGAGAAATTCATGAGAATTTGTAAAAAGCTTATCCATACGGCGTACATTGTATATCACGATTTTAATTACTTTTTCAACACTAAGTTCGATATATATTATCCAATACATGACCTAATGAGTTATTCCATTCATAAATTAACATCCTTCCAGTGCTAAGCGTTGATTAATATTCTCTACACGCGTCCTCATTTCTCGCAAAATATCTTCCGCGAGATTATCAATGTTCGTGTATCTGACTTTGAAAAAATCAAATATATCAATTAAGAATTCTATAATTTGTTCTCTGAAGTAGTTGCAAGTTAAATTCAGACTTCCTTCTGGGCCCAGGAAGCCCCAAACGAGAACTGGGGATACTTGTTCCGAAATGGAGTAGAAGTGAGCTAGGAAACCGTCTGAATACTTGAGCATTTGACGTTTTCCCATTAATACTGACCAGATCGCCGTGCCAATTGCCTGTTAGAGAAAATAAAGAGAAAAGTCAATTCAGTTTGTAAAGTGAAGATGAATCGTGAACTTCGATATAGATCATTCCAACGATCATACAAATATTTTTAAAACTAGAAAATTTAAAGACGAGTATCATTGGCCTTCTACATATTAACCCATGGAATTATTGCCAAAAAGTTCCGTGACTAGCTTTTGACAATTTCTAAGTGTGACGTGAATAAAATACCATATCGTACGGTGGTCTTGATTAGGTTTCACAATTGCCAGTGATCCTTTATCCATCAACGAGACCTATCACGCACTCCATGCGCTGAATTTGACTTTGGCAGTTCGAGTTGACGAATGAGGATTCATTTTTGTGTTCCTACTTTCATAATAAGGATTGACTTTGGGGATTCGAGCTGACCAAGTACGATTGCCGAAATTTCCATCCAGGTCTTAAGATACTCTGGTATTCGAACTATGACCCAATTATGTTTTGCAATCACCGTCGCTATTACCCCCGATACTTAAATAATTAAGTAAATTTAGAAAAAATATCTCATTATTTTTGGTATAGTACAAAAATCTTAAAAAAACTTATTTGTGATTGATGGAAAATTGCTTACTTCCTTGACTCAGCGGATATTGATTAAATAGCGAAAAAATACTTACAGTCTCTCTAAAACTCGCAGAAATCCATCGATTTTGCAAAATAGCTTTGATGGAAGATGGTGGCTTATCAACCTCGTCAAATGAATCGAGAAGAATGAAATCAATGAGGATATCATAAAAGTTGATACACTTGACACCGCGTCCTGTCAACTCCTCTTCCATGATCCTACTATTACTAGAATCACCGAGAAAATCCAGCATCCTTTCATAATGGCTGAGATAGTCTTTAGGGTCCTGAAGAATATATTAACGCAGAGAATTTATTATCACTTAATGAACTAATCTACTAAAGCATTGATTCTATCGGAGTAAAAATTTTTAACAAACCCTGTCGGCGTAAACAATGAGATCGCTGATGACCTGTCGACCAATATCAGCGATCCAAGCAGCTGTTGCAGGTCGAGCAAACAATCTGGAGTATGCTTGTCGCAGGCAATAGACTTTTGCTACATATTCAACGTCTGAACCGCATTTAACCAATTCTGTATGTAATTTCCTGTATAATTCATCCAAAGGGTAAATAATAAAAGAAAGAGGAAAATGAGAGAATAACTTAATCACAGATTGAAATAACATGTGATTTTATTACCTGCAAAGAATACCCCTATCCTCGTGTTGCTTCAACGCCGTATGGTATAGCTTTTGTTTTTCAAAGTGTGGGAAAAACTCAGAGAACTCTTCAAACTCCCTCAAGTCTGCGACCTGAGGTATAAGCAGCAGAAATACTTGACTGTTACAATGGCCTTAATCGGATAAATAATTTCATTAACATCCATGCATGAAAAAGTTCATCTTCCAAAATTTTTCGTGTGTAAAGCGGATCTTTTTGAATACATTCTAAAGTAGTAGATTAAAAAAAGTCCACTTATTAACACTTGCTACACCTATTCACAACTTTATCCACACGAATCTAGCCCTAGGTAATGACCTCACAACAATATGGTAATGACGACAATATGATATGATAAAGTGGTGTGACTTCTCAAAACCAAACTGTGGAACATTACAAAAAAAGTATGTGTTACACCGGTAAATTTGTCAAAAAAGCACTCGAAAATAGTACATTGTACTAGTAATCTAGTGTCTAAGCATATAATGTTTTGCAATACTTGCCAAAATTTATTGGGGAGTGGTTCGAAAGATTTGAGATGAAGACGGATTTTTTTTACACCGAGTTCGTACAAAAGCTTTACACAAGAAGCTTTACTCCAAGGATACACATTATTCGGCAACCTAATAAAAAATACGTAACGCACGCCAAACCGTGCCAAAACGTGAATTTTGTTGATAAATGTTACAAACCATACTGTTTTTTTAAAACTTGTTTTTAAAAAGGCACGTTTCCTAACGTTACTTTGGGGCAATCTTCGAAAATACAAACACGAATAAAATTTTGAAATTTGGATTTTGTTGATTTCTTTGGGGGGTAACAGTAGATAAGTGAGAGAAGCATTGATGGATTTTTCCAATTTTTCTAACATAACCGTTTTGGAAGTAAAAATTTGTTCAAATTTTGTTTTCAAAAACTTGACTTCCCAAAAAATGAACAAATGAAATTTTTTTTTTGTAAAATTTCAATTTTTAACTATATGTGTATTTAAAAAATACTGCGCAAATACTGATCATTTCTAAAGTGTTGATTTTCAAGGGTGGCGGGAAAAATATCCCGGAAAAAAAATCCCGGAAAAAATATCCTTGGGAAAAATATCCCCGGAAAAAATATCCCCCCAATCATACATTTCATTTCTGTCGCCCTTTTTTTATGTACATATTTTCCCAAGGAGGGGGGCGTAAAGGGGGGTCCACGGGCGAAGCCCCGC